AGGCATCACCGAAAGGTGTTTGTGGATGGCAGCATTACGAGACGAAGATATTGCAAAATACGGAAGATCAATTCAGAATTGATCACTCTGATTAATCAATGCCTCTATCGCACACCCGATAGTTTCCATGGAAACAGGCGAGCTGTTTGGTTGTCCATCCTTGCTCGATCGACCTAATTTACGAAACTTTCGATCAAGTTTCGAATTCATCAAAAGATGGATACAACAACAAATTCTTTGTAATAACAAATTCAAATTTTGGGACCCTTTGTTTAAAATTTTGTAATGTGTGTTTCAGCACCGTATTCGAACTTCATACCTCTCATTTCGAGACAGCTTTGAAGGATTCTTTTCATGTACTTTCTTCCCTTTTTATTGATCCCAGATTTCTACAAGCCCAGCATAGCCTGCGCGTCACCACGACGGCTTAACATAATATTTCCTTATTGCTCTTACAGTCTGGCTTCGGACTCTTTTTCTACGACCATGACTGTCACGATTTGTTTTTCATTGGTTCGCTGTATTTCCTTTTTCCTCTCACCTACCATGGAGTGCTAGGCTCTCAAGCGACTTTGTGGTGTTAGGTCGATAGATGGATGATGGATGGGTGTATGGAGACGGGGATTTTGCTCCAAATGTTTCAGGTGGGGGGGGGGGGGGGGGGCCGCCGCTACAGATTGGCGGGATTGGAATGTAAATGGAAGAGAGGGAAATACTTTATTGAAACCCGAGGGGTGAGAAGCATTATTTTTTGTATCGTAATGGCGGATCGGCTTGACTTCGGGTGGAATGGATGGGATGGATGAATGTAAAAGATGAGCGAGTCGTATACCCCTTTGTGTGTTACTTGTCTGCTTGCGAAATGGTCGATTGAGTGATAGTGGTAGAGTAGCTGGAGTAGCTAGATGAGATATCAAGGAATGAAAGAAGCAAGATTTCAATCTAGCTTTGCCATCTTCATGTGAACTTGTTTATGATCATATAACCATTGAGTGATATCCAATACGTTTATTAGGTTACTAGACAATGCACCTTTTGAATCCAAAATCAATCATAACTGAATCGAAACTATCTACACATGCAAAAATTCCCTCTCTCATCTCGCTTTACATAATGGAACATCCCCCATCGCTTAGCCCACCATCACCATTGGAACCCGCTTTTCCTCCCCCAGCAGCTAGAACGGCGGTGCGGCTAATATCTTCCCACACTTCTGCTACTAGCTCGCCAGTCATAGATGAACATCTGAGGGGATATAAGTTAGTAGTTTGTTAGGGATGGATTGTTCATGTTGTTATTTCTGCTTCGCGTTGGGGTTTGTAGGAGAGGGGAGAGGGGAGGGGAGGGGGAGAAGAAGAATGAGGTATTGTGAAGTATGGAAATGTGAAGAAGAAAAAGATGAGGATGAAGATGAAGATGAAGATGAATCAAACTCACTCCATATATCGATCGCATCTCAATTCCTGCGCAATGCGATGACCTTCTTGCGGATAGATAATCCCATTGGGATCTTTTTCGGATCGGAGATCGCGCTTGAGAGCGAGGAGGAGGATGGGGAGTTCGTATTGGAAGGCGGTTTGGAGTTCTTTGGCCCACTGTTTGGTTGGGGGGTTAGTTTTGTTTGTTTGGTTTGTTCGGATGGGAATGTAGTTTTGTTGGTTTGGTTGCTTTTATAGGTGTTTTGTGTTTGATCATGTATTTGTGTAGATTTATCTTTCACGTGGCATTTTCTTGTTGGCTGGTCACGGGAATGGATATGGAGAACGAGGGGAATCAAATGTACGTACAAATCTCTGTAGATTAATCAAACTCAGCCGATTCGAAACGGCATAACAGAGTACAACAACATTAGGTTTCAATGTTTTCCAATCGGTAGGCGAAGAGGTGTCATAGAAATTTAAGCGGTAAGGGATATTGGAGAAGCGGACGCCGAATATGAATGGTTGGTGGGAATCGAAGAGGAGATGGGCTTGTTTTGATATGGCGGAGGGAGAAAGATTGGAGGGGGGTTGGCTGGAAGGAAGGGAGGATAAGTTCGGGTCTTTGGGGGAATAGGGGAGGGGGCAAACTCACGATAGGAAGGTTGATTTACCAACTTCGGAATCGCCCAGGAGTAGAACTGTCGTTTCTATAGGGGGAGGTCCTAGTTGGGTATCATCCATGGCTGATTGTATAAATGCGTAGTCTCATGTTTACTCGAACAATGAATGTGACTTGGAGTATCGTAGTCGTCGTTGTGGAGTAAAGTTGATAGGAGTGCAGAGGGGTACGGTTACGATAAGCGATAAGGAATTTACCCCTGCTACATCTAAGAGCTTATTGGCTCAAAGATTCATGAGTCAATAAAAAATTCGGACAAACAATATCATTGAAGAAATTCTCATGATCTGATTTCATGAATGTTCGTCCGGAAAACCTGGAGAAGAGAAGGGCTTTCGATACCACAGAAGTATTTACGAGCTTTCTTTACAAAAGATAATTGGATTCCCGACGCAGAGAGAAGTGCGAGAGAGAGAAGATCGAAGAAGATGGGGGGAACGACGGATTATAGCGATTGGTCGCATGAGAACTTGATTAAGAGGGTTACTCAATTGGAGAAGGAGCTTAAAAGTAATACCAAAAGGTACTGATTAGTCTTTCTCCCAATCCTGAGAAACCAATATTGATCCAATACCAGCGTAACCCCTCTCCCCAAACGGAATCTCCAGAAACCCCGCCGCGAACGCGATTTCGACCCCTCCAAATACAACACTCGACTCATCGCTCTCAAACTTGCGTATTTGGGAAAACGCTACAATGGATTCGAACATCATGCACACCCAACACCTTTGACTACCATTGAAGAAGAATTGTGGCAGGCGTTGAATAAGGCTCGTCTTATATTTCCTCAGGGCGTTAATCCTCTGGCGCCGGGAGAAGTCAATTGGGAGGGATGCGAATATTCGAAATGTGGGAGGACGGATAAGGGTGTTAGTGCTTTTGGACAGGTTATTGGGATTAGAGTGAGGAGTAATCGACCACTACCTAAGGCGAAAGCAAAGTCTACACGAGAAGAATCTGTAGAGGGAGAAGCTATTGAAGAGGAAGATATGTATAACACGTATCCGAGGGAAAACGGTATCGAAGTCACATCTGCGCCGCTATCTCCATCTGCAGGCGTCCCAGGACCACGGGGTTCCGATAGTGGAACGTTCAGTTTGTCGGATCCAGAGATTCAGGAAAGTCTTGATTTTGATCATATTACGGATGAGATACCTTATCCACAAGTTCTCAATCGTCTTCTGCCACCCGATATTCGTATACTAGCTTGGTGTCCGTCACCGCCTGTGGATTTTTCTGCCCGCTTCTCCTGTCGTGAACGCCGATATCGATATTTCTTTACTCAACCTGCGTTTTCTCCTATTCCTTCTCAGTTGGAACATGGTGCATCAGCTAGTAAGATAAAAGACGGCTGGTTAGATATCGATGCTATGAGGGAAGCGGCAAGGTTATACGAGGGGTTGCATGATTTTAGGAACTTTTGCAAGGTGGATCCGGGAAAACAAATCACCAATTTTGAAAGGAGGATCTTTTATGCGAATATTGAAGAGGTAGATGATTACACAAGTTCGCTGGCTTATGTAAATGGGGGTTCATTTCTTGATGAATCAATTCGCTCCAAAACGGACGGTGAGACTAAGGCTCCTAAAATCTATACTTTCGACCTTCATGGATCCGCATTTCTGTGGCATCAGGTACGTCACATGGTTGCGATTTTGTTTCTGGTAGGACAGGGTCTAGAGAAACCTTCAGTGGTATCGGAATTATTAGACGTGGAAAAGAATCCAGGAAGACCTACTTATGAAATGGCAACCGATACTCCTCTTGTTCTCTGGGACTGTGTCTTTCCCCACGAAGACGACGAGTCTCGAACCGACGCTTTAGATTGGCATTACATAGGCGACTCTCCCGGATTTTCCGAGGGTAAATTCGGACAAGCGGGTTTGATGGATGATTTATGGAAAGTTTGGAGAGAGCGTAAGATTGACTCGATTCTCGCGGGCGAATTAATGGGGATTGTGAGTCGTCAAGGAGTGGATGCGAGTGAGCTAAGTGGGGGTAAAGGGGGGAAGGGAAGGAGTCAGAAGGTTTTTGATGGGAGTGATACTCCGAGATTTGCGGGGAAGTATACAAAGGTTATGGATAAGACGAGGATGGAGACGGTGGAGGTGGTTAATGAGAGGTATGTGGTTAGGAAGGGGTTGGTGGCTAAGGATCAGAAGAAGGGGTTTAAGAGGATGGAGAAGGAGGGAGAGGGAAAGAAAGATGGGGAATAGTGTTACATATAAGATGGAAAAAGGAAGTAAATTACAGGTTTCGATTAGATGTTCAAATCTCAACACGACTAGAATTCCAATCAGACACCTATTTGAACCGTTCAATTTCGTTACATTCATTAAATCTACATGAGAATACCACAACTCCGCTAGAAAACCGTGTAGATCTTGGAGCATTATAATTCTGTACCACTTCATTCACCGTTAGAACTTTGCTCAACGTCCCTACAGAGGTATCTATACGAAGGAAAAATCGGCACCTGCCGCTCTTCGTCAAGTTCTCCTTTGAAGTTCACGGATGAGTCTTGCTTGTGATTCTTGTGATTCGGTTGCATTTAGTAGGTTTGCGGAGAGGCTTTTTCTGACCTGGCTTCGAAGAGCTTGCTTTAGCGAAGAAATAGAACAGGCATTAGTTATGAGACGTTCAATTTAAATATGCGAAGGTGTCTGGACAGGGCGTTGGCCCCACCCAGCCCTATCTAATATTTACCGAGTGCGTAGATGATATCATTCAAGACGGGACTGTTACTTTTAGGCCACATCAAAAGGTGAGGATTAGTCAATACTATCGAATATCTCGCTAGAAAAAAATACAGTTGTACAAATACACAGGTAATCTTATATATTCTTAAATACATTTCCGTGTACTCCTGATTCCGCTTCCACTCCCTATTAGAATAAATCTCAGCAAACCCTCGCCTTCACAGTAACCATCAAATCCGGTTTCTCCCACAAAATGAACACTTTCTGCTCATTCCAACTGCGACTCTCCTCACATAAATCAATATCGAAATGCCACAAGCTACGCGCGAGAATGGCTCGCATCTCTGCCATTGCATGATGCTAGTTGATAGTTGATAGTTAGTTATTAACATATCTTATGCACGGATGTACTGCACATACCTGTCCCAAGCAATTTCTAAGTCCCACGGAAAAAGGCTGTACGACACCACGATTATCTGACGCAAAACGCGGATCATCGAGCCATCTTTCTGGTAGAAATTGATCTGGAAGTGCGAAATTGGTAGCAGAGCGATAGGCACCCCATTGGTGGACACCAACTGAAACCTAAACATCTAGTTAATTTTTGTCTACTTGCACAAGTGCAGGTTTACTCACATCTTCAGGGATAAAGTGACCATTAACAACGACACCACCAGGTTGTGTTCTTCAAGGCAGCATTCCTAGAACTGGCGGGTAGATACGAAAAGCTTCTTGCAGACAAGCATTCAAATATCGCAGATTAGCAAGTTTTACAAATGTCATATCGGCTGATTCTTCAAACGCTGTACGGATCTCTTGGACAAGAGTTGCCGTACACGAAGGATTCTTCAGGAGATGAAAAAGAGCACCACTAAGTAGCGTAGCTGTGGTTTCACTCCCAGCTATAATAAGCGTGCCAGTAGATTTCACACTCTCCGCTCTCGTCATTCCTTTCTCGTCATTATGACGAAGAATATGACTATTTGAGCTAACGTCAGCACTTTAAATATCATCGATCGTACGAGGGACCTACAAACCTCATTAAATCACGTATATCAGTAACAGTATCTAGACGACGCGCAGTCTTATATTGCGTATATTGTATATGTCTCTGTCTCGCTTTCTGCAGTCCCAGAAACAGCGCCAACTTGGCAAAAATGGGTATTCCAATTAGCGGTTACGCGCGCATGACGCGGAAGAGACGTGCGAACTTGAGACCCTTGAAGATGTTAGCAATCCAAGAATTGTATTCTTGGGTGCGGAGAGCATTGGTGGATTCGGCAAAACATAGATCGCCGATTAAATCGAATGTGGTGAAGTTGAAGAAGCAGACGATGTTCACTTTGGCATTGGAGGGACTGTCGATCTGCTCGTAGAGTTTCTGGATGAGAAGGTCAAAGTATACGTTCATTAGAGGCTCTTGTTCGCGAAGAGACGCTTCCGAGAAGGCGTGGCTTAGTGCTCGTCTGATTCGAGCGTGGTCTATGTCGTTGGATGCTGTGTTGGTCAGTGTAAATCCTTTCCTGAACATGACGTGAAGTATCAACTTACAGATAATATCTGCGATTCCGTCATTTCCAGAGAAATATACCTCTTTGTCTTTTGGAATCGGCTTCTTTCCATGACGCTGGCCATAGATCTCTAAATATAAAAGTAAGAACTGGTTCTCACTCGAAGCATTTGCAGGACTATACCTTGCTAAGCTTCAGAATTGTTGAAAGATACTGTTGCGGGAGATATCCGAACAGTATTTCCGTAAAGATCATGAAGTTTCTTCACGTTTGCTACCCAGTCGCCTGTTCAAATCTCTGTATGTTCAGTTTGGTTAGTAAGATTATTGCAGGGTTTGAAGAGTCTTTGGGGTGATTGATAATGAGAAGTGTTTCACTTGCCCCAGTATGTTGGAAAGTAAAAGGCACCACGTAACTTGGGTCCGGCTACTTTAGCAAGAGGATGAAATGTGATGTTGTATGAACCAACAATTGCACAACAAGCCACATACTTAGAATTTAATCAGTCTAGGTAGTAACGTGGACGCCAGATTCGACTTACAAAAACGCAAAGAAACAGCAAAACTTCGGAAAACTGGAAGATGGCCATCGTGATTCTAGCCAGCAAGAGATCACAGCAGCCAAAAGGTGTAAGTTTGCAATTATTGAAAGTAGCAAGGTTACTTCGTGGATAAGCTACCAACAAATGTATGGTAATTTGATGATTCACAAGCGGGTGATACCTAGTGAAGACATCCGTATTGCTTCGTCGCAATAGCTCGGCATTCATAGAGTCCGCTTGTCATCTGACAAAATTAGTAAATTTCTAGTTAGATAGAATAATGCCACACAAAAATGCCCTCTAAATAAGTGGGATTCTTCATGTATGTTTGAGCCTTTTCGGTACGTGAAAGGCTCGCTAATAGAGCTCGCGTACGACTACACAAGCTGCGAGGTTTCTATGTGAAAACGTTGAATGGATCGAATTACTGCCTAGAGCTATTAGCCAGAATCTATTCACTCTGATCATGTCATGTAATCCCAGAAAGTATTCACTCGAAAACATCCCAGCCCACCATGACCAAGGTTCGAAGCCTATTCAGACTTGATGGGTTGGATGAGTGACGGTGAGAGGTCAGCCTATCATAAAGGTCTTTCCGACCATGAGTTATGTCAGTATTATGCTTACATTGGTGCCAACAGTGACTTGCTTAATGGAGATGATGATTCACGGAAGTTACGAACTCGGAGATGTAGCGCTGTAGAACCCACTTGAAAACAGGTGAAGTTTGTTCTAATTAACGAGAAGGCTTGAACCCCACGGACTTCTTTCGTTCCCCTATGCACAACGGAAAGATGGACAGAGGTTGAATTAAATATCATATATCAATCACTCTTTCTTTCAGAGGGAGTCGTTACATTTGTTTCTATTTCGTTTTGCACTTTAACTCTAGATAACTTTAGACTTCCTGGATTTGAGATCTTGATTGCACTTGCAATTTGACGACTAACTTCCGACACCTCTCGTCTGGGCATCATGAGAAAATTTGTCTAAAGGGGTGAGCTCATTGAACGCTTAATTAAATACCATCTGATATACTCTGCGGCTCATCTTATCATCTATCATAACCCTATTCACCATATCCTTATCCAATGCAAACCGATTTTCCTCCTCTATTGCTCTCCCCGCCTATCCATTATAGTTCCATCTTAGCCCATCTAATCCCTCCCGCTAGCAATCAACTGTTCCATGATATCCGCAAACCTGGCTGGTACACTACCTTTCTCCTGTTTCGCCTCCCCAACCGCCAATAGCACCTTCTTGATACCCACACCTACACTATCACTTTCCGTGTATTGTTTTAGTTGATTCAAGGACTCTTGCAAATCGCCTTCATTGTCGAATGCTTGAACCTCTCGCAAGATAGTTGCCAATTCGCTGAAAGTATTGACATTGGGGACTGCAAGTTCACGATTGAAAATGGGTTGAAGATCAAGTTGTTTGAGGACACTGCGTTGAGACGTAGTGCCTATAATCAAGAGACGACGTTGCTAGAAAGTTGTCAGTATCATGGTAAGAATAGAAAAGTAGAGGACTTACATTTGGCGGTTGCTTAGTGAGCAGAACCATAAGGGCTTGTAGTACTGCGTTTGAGAATCGGGGACCAATAGGAACCCATTCGATAATACGCTCAATATTGTCTATGACAACGATATTTTGAGGAGATTTGTATGCATCCATAAAGACTTTGTTGAGATATTGAATTTTTTGTGCATCACCAAATCCAACCATATTCTCGGCGGAAACAAGCTTGATGAAGGGAAATTCTGACCCTTTAGCAATGGCTGCTGCGAGGGCAGTTTTTCCAGAACCAGGGGGACCATGGAGAAGCACTGAGAGGAGGGATGTTGTTTGTGACTGTCTTACGAGATCTATGAATAGACGACCATCTTTGAGAATGGTATCAATGTGCCTGCTGAAAGGCAAGATACCTGCTGCCATGGCGCCTTCAAGTTCTTCTTCAGACACACCAAACGCGGCTTTGACTTCTTCAAGAGCATGCATGAAATCGCTTCTGTTGACCTTCATGTTTTCGATATCATCGCTAACACCTGCTACGGTGCCAACTTTGACGTGTCGATTGAAAGCAAATGATGAAGCTGACTTGACCAGACCACCAATTTCAGCTCCCGAGAAATTCTTGGTTAGATGAGCGAGTTCAGCAACATCGACATCTGAATCCATGACATCATTCTTTAACATCTTGGAGGTGTGAATCTTCAAAATTTGTGCTCTGCCGGCTTCATCTGGCAGGGAAATTTCCATGTGAACTTCTAAACGTCCAGGTCTGAGGAGAGCGTCATCAATCATATCCATACGATTGGTCATTCCAATGAGGAGAATGTTGTTGAGCTGGTCAACTCCATCGAGCTTAGACAACAATTGATTGACTACACTGTCACCAACACCAGTTCCGCCACCTGCTCCGCTTCCTCTTTGTTTACAAACGGCATCCAATTCATCGAAAATGATGATATGAAGACCACTCTCGTCTCCTTTTTCCTTGTACTCCTTTTCGGCATCGGCAAAAAGCTTTCGGATATTTTCTTCGGATTGACCAACGTATTTGTTAAGTACTTCGGGACCGTTTATGACCTTCGGCTCTCTTGAATTCAACATTTTTCCAATTTGACGGGCAATGAGAGTCTTTCCCGTACCCGGAGGACCAAATAGAAGAATACCTTTCACGTGCTGAATGCCCAATTTCTCGATTAAGCCAGGGGGGAAAATACGAGAAGCGAAAGCTCTTCGGAAAATAGCACTGAACTCTGTATCTAGACCACCAATACCCATATTTTCGAATTTAAAGTCCGGCGCAATGATGGAATTAACGGCCGGCCGCTTACTCGATCCCTTCAACTTGATGGGCGATTTTGAATCCTTATAGAACGTGATAGGCGTCGTTCGAACTAGAATACCACGAGCTTGTGGAGCGCTGACAGTTGGAGACGGCTCGGCATTTTTCTCCATACTTAAATCGGACAATTGAACAGTTTTCACAAGAAATGACAAAGGTACATTTTTGTGATCCATTAGCAACCTTTGACCGGGAGCAAAGACTTGGTTCTCGAACCACTTGATGAATACACTAGCCAATTCATCTTGGTCATAAGGTACGTCTGTAAACTTCTTCGCTGAGGCAAATCCGACCTCAACGTCCAGAGCACCAAGGTAAGCTTGTGGGCCTTGATAAAAAGGATCGTATGTTTCAGCGTTTATTCTATCCAGCATTCCGACATTACACCATGTTCTTTGTGGATCCGACAAACTTATGCATCCTGGAGGGAAGCCATCCAATGGCCTTGCAGTAACAACAAACATGCCATTCAGTATGAGATATATATCTGATCCGTCCTGGTTGGGTGGAAAGTCCATAGGAGATACAGCGGACCTTGTAATAATGTTAGTACAAGCAGTGCATTGCTCTTTAGCCACAAATACTCACAAATTGCCAAAGATGTATTGATTCGCCTTTGTTTTATCTTCGACTTTGGCGATACTGAGCTGCGCTCTTCGGGGAGACATTGGGCCTCTGCCCCCAACAGGTTGTCTCATGGGCATAGCTTGTCTTGGAGAGGTCATAGGAGACTTTTCTTGACGTCCTGCATAACCATTTCCATCATAACCACCCATGGCAGTGTCTTCCCGGGGAGGAGGTGCTGGAGCTCTGCCATAACCTGCTGGTGGTTGGTCTCTTGATGATCTTGGCCCCGAGCCAAATAGGTTATTACGGAGATTCATAATTTCGTTGGCAAATTCGTGTGTAAGGAAGGATGATTGTTTGTTGGGACTCGATGATACGAGAGGCTTTACAATATTCAAAGAAGGCGTGGAGATGAAACTCGTTTTGAGTTCTTATGTACACGAGGCAAAAACAGTGTCGGTAGTCGTAGTCGTAGCCTGCTGCGGAGTGGTTGATCTTCAGGGGATTTCGCGAGGCACCAGCCTTATGATATCGAAAATCAAACTGTCCTTTCAACAATGACTCAAAGTTCAAAGAGAACAGATATAATTTTGTAGGTTAATAAATTATCAGTAAGATCCTCTATTTCCTTAAAATTCAGAATAAACTATGAAAATATGAAGTTTCTAAAGTGGACAGTGCCATTCGTGTTGCGACTGCTGTCTCTTGCAGGTTTGACATCAGCAAGCGGCGACCGAGCACAGCTAATGATTGGATTGGCCTTGTCATCTCCAACCCCAGAATCCTTATCGCAACCTCTCAGCCTTGATCTAGATTTCTTCGTCCAAAGCGGGGATCAACAACTTCGTTTACCAATCATGCCTCTGTAAGTTTCGCTATTTTAATTATTCAAGATCAGATAATTGACTTTTGCTAGTCATTTGTTGGGCAAAAAGTCGTGGAATGTCTACAACAAAGATAACATCGAGAAAGTCCGGCGCGATGAAGCTATTGCAAAAGCCAAGGAGGAAGCGGAGGAGCAACAGATGCAAGAGTTAGATGCGGAACGTCGCATGCAAATACTACGAGGAGAAATCCCTACACCTCTATCAATAGAAGACAAACCAGAAGAACACAATGACCCGCATGAGAGACGCTCGCATGGCTCCGGCGAAGAACGCAAGCGGAGACCTAGGAAACGAAATGGGGAGAACGAAACTGACTTCGAGATGCGCGTTGCAGCTCAAGATTCACAGTCTTCAAAGAATGAACGTCAAATTGTTTTACGAAAACCTACAGATGCACCATTAG